TTTTGAGGCTGTCTTAATCTGTTGCCCAGGCTGGAGTACAGGAGCATGATCATGGCTCACTGCAGCCTCCAACTCTTGGGCTCAAGCGATCCTCTCACCTCAGCCTTCCAAGTAGCTGAAACTATGGGAGAATACCACTATGCCTGGCTTTTTATTTATTCACTTATTTGCTTTTAGAGATGGGTGGGTCTTACTATGTTGCCCAAGCTAGTCTTGAACTCCTGGCTCAAGCAATCCTCCTGCCTTGGCCTCCCAAAATGCTGGGATTACAGGCATGGGCTACTACACCCAGCCTGAAGAAAGAAAAAATTTACAAATAAATTTAGTGTAGCCTAAGTGTACAGAGTTTATAACATCTACAGTAGTGTACAGTAATGTCTGAGGCCTTCACAGTCACTCACCAGTCACTCACTAACTCAGAACAACTTCCAGTCCCACAAGTTCCATTCATGGTAAGTGCCCTATTCAGGTGTACCATATTTTAAATTTTTTATACTAAATATTTACTGTACCTTTTCTATGGTTAGATATGTTTAGATGCGCAAATACTAGGTTGTTACAATTGCCTACAGTATTCAAATATGTACAGTAACATGCTGTACATATTTGTAGCCTTAGAGCAATAGGTTATGCCATATAGCCTAGGTGTGTAGTAGGCTACACTATCTAGGTTTGTGTAAGTTCACTCTTTGACATTCACACAATGAAAAAAGTCCCCCAACAGCACATTTCTCAGAACATATCACAGTTGTTCAGCAATGAATGACTGTAACCTCAAACAGATACATCAGACAAATCAGTAGGATTTGTATTTTTGGTATAATGTTGTTAGCATTCATCTTTAACAAAGTTCTTCTAAATATATTTATGCTTAACATTTTGTCTCTTTTTGGTACCTGCATCAACAATCACTTTATCTACTCAAAGTTCCTTTAGTCAGCAACAGCTAATTGCAAAGGTTTACTGTTTCAAAGTAATAGGATAGATTCCATTTGTTAGAACTGATTCAAAAACACAAGTACTAAAGAAATCTAAGGCTTTATAAAATAACTTGCTTTTTTTTTAAAAAAGAAATATAAGACTATAATATTATGATCCTACAGAATTTCTTGCTACATGGTGGTATGGATAATACAGATCCAGATACACAGCAGATGAGCTCAGAGTAACTGAGTTTATAGTTTTACAGCTTTATCTTCTGCCTTACTAGCATTATAGGTTTTTGTAGCACCTAAAATCAAACAGGAATGTAATTTTCTTCAGCTTATTTCACTACAAGGAGGATATTGGGTGTATTATAAACCTTCTTTTTCCTTTAATCTTAACATTTTAAAAGATGAACCTAATCATTATAAACCAAGCATTGCTTTAAATTAATATTTTAAAATAAGTATAGTTATGATTATCCCCCCAGAACTTACCTACTTGTGAATTGCTTCCAAATAATTCATGAATAAGTTTGTCAAAATCGTATGTTACTTTTGCAAGAGAATCAGGTTCAAAACTGGGACAAAATGGTATATTTTCTCTGTGTTCATCTTCACGGTTTAAAGCTCCTCCAAATGCCCAAGTAAAGGCAAACACAAAAAGCTTTTGAATAATTTTTGTTAATTTATCAGGATATTTCTCTGGATACCATGTATTTTCATCCCTGGGGTAGACAGGTATGGAAGGATGAAGGTTAACATTTTTAGAAAGCAGTTTAGGAATAGAAATTTATTTTAATATAATGTTAAAGTTTCATTATTAAAAATTGTAATGCAGTTAGGTGTTAATATAAATGTTTCAGTTTCCTTTGATAACTGTCATATAAATTATACAATTACTATTTTTATTTTTAAAGTACCATATGTATAAAACTTGTATAGTCAAACTTTATTTCAAATATACATTTAATATGTTTTTATTTAACATATGTATATATACTTTTATTTATAATATACTTTATTTAATATACCTTTAGTATGTTATTTAATATACATATGTTTAATATATGTATATATTTTAATTTATGTAAAAAAGTTTCATTTTTATTTTAGGTCAGTTTATTACTGACAGTTTATCTGTATTTTGGAAGAGGAAATTATAATTCTTAATTTTATGTGGAAAGACATAAGTGAATAGTCATTCACCCTGTATTCCTCTCAGCCAAGTCCTAGAGGCTGATTTAGTTCAACCTGGCTAAAGCCAGGCAGTCTGAATCTGGAGAGAGTCTTCTCCACTCTGGATTAACCCAGATCATCCATGGTTGGTGGGATCATGAAATTCTATGGTGATGGTGATGGGACTGAACATGACATTTGAGCCTGATTTAAAGACATTTCATATAGTTCAGAATTTAGTACTATCATAAAACTATTTATAAATTGTGAAAAACCTAAAATATGTCACTAAACTGGAATTTATTAGCAATCATTAATGTACAGGTCATTTGTACAATTCCATCTGAAATTTCTAGCCATATGTAATAGTTCACTTAGCAAATATTTGAGTAGTTATTATGTGTTGGTTTTTCTGAACAAAACAGATACAATCCGTTTTTTACAGAACAGGAGAATTAATGCTAAACCATGATAAGTGTAAAGAAAAAAGTTGGTCAAGGAGCCAAGATGGCCTATTAGAAGCAGCAGCTGCCCTTGGCACTCATGAGGAGGAATGAAAGTAGTGAGAGAATTCAGCGCCTTCAACTGAAATATCCAGGTTCTCTCACTGGGACTGACTAGGCAAACAACTCGACCCATGGAGAATGAAGAAAAGCAGAGTGGGGTAATGGTCCACCTGTGAGCATCACATAGCCAAAGGAATCCCCTTCTACCCCCAGCCAAGGGAAGCAGTGAGGGAGTGTGCAACACCACCAAGAAAACCATGCTTCTCCCATGGATCTTCACAACCCACAGATCAGGAGATCCCCTGTGAGCCAATGCCACCAGGGGCTTGGGTCCCATACACAGAGCTGTGGGGAATCTTGGCAGAGCAGCCACTCAGGTACACACAGAGACCTAAGAGTTTTATGTACTCTGGCCCCAGGAATCCCAGAAAGGCAGGAAATCTATCCATAATTCCTGATAGGAAAAGGGCTGGATCCAGGGAGTCAACCAGCATCATTCTCTGGGCCCCACTTCCAAGGCACCTCATGAGTTAAGACCCACTGACTTGGAATTCCAGCCACTCAATGGCAATAGGCTGGAGGCTGAGTGAGATGGGACCAAATTCCCAGGGGGCAGGGAAGCTGCCATCTCTTGGTTGACTCAGCTGTTCCAGCCTGATGGCTCTGGAGAGTCCAGGTGGTCAGGAGAAGAAGGGGTTTCCCACAACACAGTACAGCTACTTTGCCAAATTGTGGACAGACTGCTTCTTTAGGAGGGACCCCAATCTATTCCTCCTCACTGGGTGGGGCCTCCCTGCAGAGGTTTCAGCCACTCCACCCAGGGTTATATGGCCAGAACTCTGATCTTTCCCTGGGATGAAGCTCCTGGAGGTAGGGTTGGCTGCTGTCTCTGTGGTTTGGTTGACTCAGCTGTTTCAGCCTTCCAGCTATGGAGAGTCTGGGTGGTCTGGGCAAGGAGGGGCCACCCCCCATGCAGCACACCTGCTCTACCAAGAAGCAGCCAGACTGCTTCTTTAAGGGAGTTCCTGATCCTGTTCCTCTTGACTGGGTGAGACCTCCCAACAGGGGTCTCCAGACACTTCCTATAGGAGCATTCCGGCCAGAAACAGGTCAGCACCCCTTGGGACACAGCTTCCAGAGGAAGGAATAGGCTACCATCTTTGCTGTTTCAAAGCCTTCACTGGTAATACCTCCAGGTAAGGAAAAACCTGAGGCAAGTAGGGGCTGAAGTGGACCTCCAATAAGCTGTACCTGCCCTATGGAAAAGTGGTCTGACTCCAAGAAAAACAGACAAAAAATGACAATAACAACATCAACAAAAATACCTCACAAAAACCCCACTTGAAGGTCAGCAAGATCAAAGATTTAAGGTAGATAAGCCCACAAAGATGAGAAAGAATCAATGCAAAAATGCTGAAAACTCAAAAAGCCAGAGTGCCTATTCTCCAAATGACTGAAACATCTCTCCAGCAAAGGTGCAAAACTAGGCTGAGGATGAGATGGCTGAATTAACAGAAGTAAGCTTCAGAATGTGGGTAATAATGACTTAAAGGAGCATGTTGTAACCCAATGCAAAGAAGCTAAGAAGCGTGATAAAACAATACAGGAGCTGATAACCAGAATAGCCAGTTTAGAGAGGAACATAACTGACCTGACAAAGCCAGAAAACACAATACTAGAATTTCACAATAAAATTACAAGTATCAATAGCAGAATAGACCAAGTGGAGGAGAGAATCTCAGAGCTTGAAGACTATCTTTCTGAAATAAGACAGGCAGACAAGAATAGAGAAAAAACAATAAAAAGAAATGAAATGAAATGAACAAAAACCACTGAGATTTATGGGATTATGTAAAGATACCGAAGCTATGACTGATTGGGGTTCTTGAAAGAGATGGGGAGAATGGAACCAAATTGGAAAATATACTTCAGGATATCATCCAGGAGAAGCTCCCCAACCTAGCAAGACAGGCCAACCTTCAAATTCAGGAAATGCAGAGAAACCCAGTAAGGTGCTCCATGAAAAAAAATCAACCCCAAGACATATAAACATCAGATTCTCCAAGGTTGAAATGAAAGAAAAAATGTTAAGGGCAGCCAGAAAGAAAGGCCAGGTCACCTACAAAGTGAAGCACATCAGACTAACAGTGGACTTCTCAGAGAAAGCCCTATAAGCCAGAAGACATTGGGTGGCCAATATCCAACATTCCTAGACTTTACAACCTAGACTTTCATATTCAGTCAAACTAAGCTTCATAGGCAAAGGAGAAATAATATCCTTTTCAGATACACAAATGCTGAGGGTATTCATCACCACCAGGCCTGCCTTGCAAGAGCTCCTGAAGGAAGCACTAAATATGGGAAAAAAAATCCATTATGAGCCACCATAAAAATGCACTGAAGTACACAGACCAGTGACACTATGAAGCAACCACATAAAGAAGTCTGCAAAATAACCAGATAGCATCATGATGACAGGATTAATTTCACACAAGACCCATTGGTATGCTGTCTTCAAGAAACTCATCTCATGTGCAAAGACATACATGGGCAGAAAATAAAGGGATGGGGGAAAATTTACCAACCAAATGGAAAGCAAACAAACACAAAAAGCAGGGTAGCAATCCTAGTTTCTGACAAAACAGATTTTAAACCAACAAAGATAAAGAAAGACAAGGGCATTACATATGATTATGTATATGATTACATATGATTATGAAATCACAAAAGGGAAGTGAAGGACCTCTTCAACAGGAACTACAAAACCTTGCTCAAGGAAATCAGAGAGGACACAAACAAATGAAAAAACATTCTATGCTCATGGATAAGAAGAATCAATATCGTGAAAATGACCATGCTGCCCAAAGCAATTTATAGATTCAATGCTATTCCTATTAAACTACCATTGACATTCTTCACAGGTATAGGGTTCAATTTGACAAGAAGAACTAACTATCCTAAATATATGTGCACCCAATACAGGAGCACCCAGATAACACTCCCACTGACAATATTAGACAGATCATTGAGACAGAAAATTAACGCAGATATTCAGGACCTGAACTCAGCTCTGGATTAAGTGGACCTGGTAGATATCTACAGAACTCTTCACCCAAAAACAACACAATATACATTCTTCTCATTGCCACATGGTGCTTACTCTAAAATTGATCACATAATCAGAAGTAAAACACTCCTCAGCAAATGTGAGAGAACTGAAATCATAACATCTCTCAGATGACAGCACAATCAAATTAGAGCTCAAGATTAAGAAATTCATTCAAAACCACACAACTACCTGTAAATTGAACAACCTGCTCCTGAATAACTCTTGGGTAAATAACGAAATTAAGGTAGAAATCAAGAAGGTCTTTGAAACTAATGCGAACAAACAGATAATGTACAGAATCTCTGGGATGCAGCTAAAGTGGTGTTAAGAGGGATGTTTATAGCACTAAATGCCCACATCAAAAAGCTAGAAAGATCTCAACACGCTACCATCACTACTAAAAGAACTGGAGAATCAAGAGCAAACAAACTCCAAAGCTAGAAGAAAAGAAATAACCAAGATCAGACCTGAACTGAAGGAGATAGAGACATGAAAAATCCTTCAAAAATCAATGAATGCAGTAACTGATTTTTTGAAAAAATTAATAAAATAGACTGCTTAGACTAATAAAGAAGAAAAGATAAGAATCAAATAACCACAATCAGAAATGATAAGGGGAGTATCACCAATGACTCCATAGAAATACAACCAACCATTGGAGAATACTATAAACACCTCTATGAATATAAACTAGAAAATCTAAAAGAAATGGAGAGATTCCTGGACACATACAGCCTCCCAAGACTGAACCAGGAAGAAATCAAATCCTTGAATAGGCCAATAATGAGTTCTGAAATTGAGGCATTAATAAATAACCTACCAACCAAAAAAAGCCCAGGATCAGGTGGATTCACAGCTGAATTCTACTAGAGGTACAAAGAAGATCATGTCTAATGAAACTATTACAAACAATTGAAAACGAGGGATTCCTCCCTAACTCCTTTCCCGAGGCCATCATTATCCTGATACCAAAACTTGGCAAAGATACAACAAAAAAGAAAACTTCAGGCCATTCCTAATGAACATCAGTGCAAAAATACTTAAAAAAAAAAAAAAAAAGTACTGGCAAACGAAATCCAGCAGTACTTCGAAAAGCTTATCCACCACAATCAAGTTGGCTACCTCCCCGGGATGTAAGGTTGGTTCAAAATATGCAAATCAATAAATGTAATTCATCACATAAACAGAACTAAAGACAAAAACCACATGATTATCTCAATAGATGCAGAAAAGGCTTTTGATATAATTCAACACCCTTTCATGTTTAAAACTCTCAATAAATTAGGTATTGAAGGAGCATACCTCAAAAATAATAAGAGCCATATATAACATAGCCACAGCCAATATCATACTGAATGGTCAAAAGCTGGAGGGATTCTTCTTGAAAACTGGCACAAGACAAGGATGCTCTCTTTCACCACTCCTATTCAACATAGTATTAGAAATTCAGGCCAGGGCAATTAGGCAAGAGAAAGAAATAAAGTGTATTAATATAGGAAGAGAAGAAGCCAAATTATCTTTTTTGTAGATGACATGATCCTGTATCTAGAAAACCCCATCATCTCAGCCCCAAAGCTTCTTAAGCTGATAAGTAACTTCAGCAAAGTCTGAGAATATGAAATCAATGTGCAAAAGTCACTAGCATTCTTGTACACCAACAACAGGCAAGCAGAGAGCCAAATCATGAATAAACTCCCATTCACAATAGCTACAAAAAGAACAAAATACCTAGGAATACAGCTAACAAGGGAAGCGAAGGACCTCTTCAAAGGGAACTACAAACCTCTGCTCAAGGAAATCAGAGAGGATACAAACAAATGGAAAAGCATTCTACGCTCATGGATAAGAAGAATCAATATCATGAAAATGACCATATTACCCAAAGCAATTTATAGATTCAATACTATTCCTATTAAACTACCATTGACATTCTTCACAGAACTAGAAAAAAATTACTTTAAAATTCATATGGAACCAAAAAAGAGCCTGAATAGCCAAACCAATCCTATGCAAAAAGAACAAAGCTGGAGGCATCACAGTACCCAACTTCAAACTATACTACAAGGCTACAGTAACCAAAACAACATGGTACTGGTACAAAAACAGACACAGAGAACAATGGAATAGAATAGAGAACTCAGAAACAGGACTGTACATCTACAACCATCTGATCTTTGACCAATGTGACAAAAACAAGCAATGGGGAAAGGATTCCCTATTTAATAAATGGTGCTGGGAGAATTGGCTAGCCATATACAGAAAACCGAAACTGGACCCCTTCCTTAAACCTTATACAAAACTTAACACAAGATAGATTAAAGACTTAAATGTAAAACCCAAAATTCCAAAAACCCTAGAAGAAAATCTAAGCAAATATCATTTAGAATATAGGCACCGGCAAAAATTTTATGACAAAACTTTGAAAAGCAATTGCAACAAAAGCAAAAATTGACAAATGGGATCTAATCAAACTAAAGAGCATCTGCACAGCAAAAGAAACTATCATCAGAGTGAACAGACAACTTACAGAATGGGAGAACATTTCTGCAGTCTATCCATCCAGAGGTCTAATATCCAGAAAAAGGTCTAATATCCAGAATCTATAAGGAAGTAAGGCTGATTTATGAGAAAAATAGACCATTAAAAAATGGGCAAAAGACATGGACAGATACTTCTTTTATTTATTTATTTATTATTATTATTATACTTTAAGTTCTAGGAAAGAGACATACATGTGGCCAACAAACATGAAAGCTCAACATCACTGATCATTAGGGAAATACAAATCAAAACCACAATGAGATACCATCTCATGCCAGTCAGAATGGTGATAATTAAAAGGTCAAAAACAACAGATGCTGGCAAGGTTGCAAAGAAAAAGGAATGCTTTTACACTTGTTGGTGGGAGTGTAAATGAGTTCAACCATTGTGGAAGACAGTATAGTGATTCCTCAAAGACCTAGAGGCAGAAATACCATTTGACCCAGCAATCCCATTACTGGGTATATACCCAAAGGAATATAAATCATTCTATTATAAAGATACATGCACACATATGTTCATTGCAGCATAATTCACAGTAGCAAAGATATGGAATCAAACTAAATGCCCATCAATGATAGACTGGATAGAGAAAATGTGGTACATATACACCATGGAAGACTATGCAGCCATAAAAAGGAATGAGATCATGTCCTTTGCAGGGACATGGTTGGAGCTGGATGCCATTATCCCCAGCAAACTAATGCAGGAACAGAAAACCAAACACTATATGCTCTCACGTATAAGTTGGAGCTGAAGGATAAGAACACATGGACACATAGGCAGGGGAACAACACACACTGGGGCCTGTTGGGATGGTGGTCAGGGGAGGAAGGGCATCAGGAAAAATAGCTAATGAATACTGGGCTTAATACCTAGGTGATGGTATGATTTGTGCAGCAAACCACCATGGCACACATTTACCTATGTAACAAACCTGCATGTCCTGGACATGTACCCCTGAACTTAAAATAAGAGTCAAGCACTGCATGAATAATAATAGTAGGGATAACTAGTTTAGATGTGGGAGTCAGGGAAGGTCTCATTGAAGAAGTGACTATTCAATTGAGACCAAAGAATTGGTGATATTTGGCAAAATATAGGAGGAAGAACATCTTGGACAGAAGGAATACATGTGCCAAGACCGTAAGGTCAAAGGATCATGGCTTGACAAACTGAAGAAAAAGCAAGTGTCACTGAAGCACAATCAGAGCAAGAGATTAGGAGATGAATCTGGAAAGGTAGGCAGAACCTTTTTAGGCTGTGCCAAGATTTTTTTTCTTCCACTTTGAAAGTAATGGGAAATCTTAAATCCCTACAAAAGAGAAAAGAAATATTTTAAATTATGTTTTAAAAAGATCGACTCTTCCATATAAGAGACATGTACTCTTATATGAGGCATAAGACTCTTCTTCTATAAGAGACATGTGCAAACGTATTAATCATAATACTATTGTTAATAACAAAAATTGAAAATCTAAATGCTTACCAATGGATAAATAACCTGTGATACATATGTGTGTGTGTGTATACATATATGTATATCATGGTTTATATATATAATGACAATGGACTAGTTGGTAGCAGTGAAAAGAAATAAGAATAGCTATATGTACAATGGACTAAACAGATGTAATGTTGGACAAAAGACGCAAGTGACAGAAGATCATACAGGATGATTTCATCTATTTAAAGTTAAAAACACACAAAGCTAAAATACACTATTTTGAAATATATTAATAAGTACAAAATCCAGAATAGTAGTTATCTCAGATGATGGGATACCCTGAGATCTAGGAGAGAATACAGAGGACTTCAAAAATAAAATAATATGCTTTTTCTATGGCCGAGTGGTATATATATGGGTGATTACGGTATTGTTATTTATATCTTATATATGTTTTATAAATGCCCTTTTTGGCTACTTACTATTTAATAAAAATTTAATTCCTTGTTGTTACACTGAGAATGAGCAGGAAAAATTGGGGAAACCAATTAGGAAGCTATTGCAAACAGTATAGGCAAGAAATGATGGAGGTTTGGGTTAGAATGCCATAATCAAGATGTAGATAACTGAGTGGATTTTAAGGCAGAACTGACAGGCAGAGTAGAAATCACAAGTGAATGTTTTATCATTCAAAAGCAAATGTTACATGAATGTCTTAAGGACTCATAATAAGATGCCTAACAGTGACTCTTCTATCCTACAAAATGGCTGAAGAAATGTAGAACTAATAATTTACATTGCTATAATTTATTGAGCTCTTACTATGTACTAGGTTCTATTCTGGATACATAACATATCACATTATTACTCCAGTTTAATAAATGAAAAAAAATTAAAGCTTAAAAACATTTAGCAACTAATTCAACATTTCACAGCTCATAAATGGCAGATTCATGAAATAAATTCATGTCAATTTTATTCCTTTCTCAAATATGTATAGAGGCTGGACAAATGCATTCCTATAAGGCATATTACTTCAAAATGTAGTATAAAATCTGGTATCTTATATTAGCTATACGAAGAACTTTAAGTTGGAATAAAATGAATTTAAGTGGATTCTGATACTATGAAAACACAGAAGTATTGGTTTATCAAGAAGTAATCCTGTGCATATTTCAGGGTTTGGCACCTAATGGTTATTAAAACATGTTTTCTGAAGGAATGTAACTGACCTCTTTTCTATATCCTTGAATGTGACAGAATTTCTTCGAGAATTTGCCTCCTTAGATGACGTGTCACTCAAATCATTACCTTAAAAAGAAAAGAGTATTTTTCCATAATTAACAACTGATGTAAAATTTATCTGGTAAACTAATGAGGTTTAACCTTTAACATTGTTTAATTCGTGAATTATCATAGAAGAACATCTTTATTTCACATACGGTATCTGAGAATTAACTTATCAGAACAAAGTGGGAATTACAAGAGCAGAGAATGTTCTTACATTGTCAGAACTGATTTTTATTTATTTGAAGCATAAAGCTGCATACATTTGTTCTTTATTCTATTCTATCCTTTTTTTATAAGATTGATTGTTGCAAAATGTAAACTTTGAAACAATGAAGTGACTATGACAAAATATGGTACACAATACAAGCTAAACAATAAATGGGCCCTCATAAAGTAGGGCAATAAAAAAAGAAGCTGCATATTTTCAAGTAACAAATTTATTAAAACAAACATTCAACTGGGGCATGTTAGGCAGATTGTAGTCATCCCCCTCTCATTCCCATTACCCACCATTTTTGTCCAACTAATCCATTCCACAGAGAAACACAAAGAGCAATTATTCATTCTTCCTTGTAACTTATTTTTATTTTATAATATTTGTTTTCTTAATATTAAAAAATGCTTCTTTTAGGACATTTACAAAATACACAAAAGTGTACAGAAGGAAACAATCACCCATAATTCCACCACCTAAAGATAACAACTAGTAATATATTGATGTATTTCTTTATGGGCTTTTATATAAAGACATAAATTATATAAAAACATAATATTTTAAAATGTAAACCTAAATAGAAAACTAAAAACAGAGTTGGGTGCTTATCCTGCTTTTTAGACCTGTCTTGATTTTGTTGCATCATAATTTATTAAGTCATTCATCCATTGTTGGAATTCAAATAATTGTTTTATGATTATAAATAATTCTGCTATGAATAAACCTCCTTGTGCATAAATCTTTCTATGCTTCTCTGATTATTTATTTATAATAATTTCCTAGAATAAAAGATAGTAGAGCAGAGTATATGGATATTTTTAGCATATAGTGTCAAATAGTTCACCAAGAAAAGTTCAATCAATTTTTTATCACCCACTTCAGCATCCCTTATTCCACAGATCCTTTAAGTGTTCTTTCCCTTCTGCTACTACCAAAGATGAAAATATATATATATTTATTATACTTTAAGTTCTGGGATACATGTGCAGAACATGCAGGTTTGTTACACAGGCATACATGTGCCATGGTGGTTTGCTGCATTACTCAACCCATCATTGACAGGTATTTCTCCTAATGCTATCTCTCCCCTTGTCCCCCACCCCCGACAGGCCCCAGTGTATGATGTTCCCTGCTTGTGCCTATATGTTCTCATTGTTCAACTCCAACTTATGAGTGAGAATATGTGGTATTTGGTTTTCTGTTCTTGTGTTAGTTTGCTGAGAATGGTTTCCAGCTTCATCCATGTCACTGCAAAGGACATGAACTCATTCTTTTTTATGGCCGCATAGTATTCCATGGTGTATATGTGCCACATTTTCCTTATCCAGTCTATCATTGATGGGCATTTGGGTTGGTTCCAAGTCTTTGCTATTGTGATTAGTGCTACAATAAACATACATGTGCATGTTTATTTATAGTAGAATGGTTTATAATCCTTTGGGTATATACCCAGTAATGGGATTGCTGAGTCAAATGGTATTTCTGGTTTCAGATCCTTGAGGAATCACCACACTGTCTTCCACAATGGTTGAACTGATTTACACTCCCACCAACAGTGTAAAAGCATTCCTATTTCTCCACATCCTCTCCACATCCTCTCCAGCATTGCTGAGTCTGTCCCACAGACTCTGACTGAGCAACGGATGAAAGAAGTATGTGGACACAGGTATTTTGCCTGACTGCACAGCTAGGGAACCACATGGCTCAGCACTGCTGACCAGAGTCCAGCAGCCAAGAGAGTGCAGCCCCAATAAGCTAGCAATGCTCACATTTATTTAGTACAGATTCAATGACAAAGGCTTGGAGCAAACATGGTTTGTGGTAATAAACTTTGTCAACCCCCTGAGTAGACAGAAGTCCCTGCATGCGAATGATTAAAGGCTGGTTTTAGGACGTGAATAAAATGCTATTTAGATAAACTCCTCTACATTCCTTTGTACCTACGCCCTCTGCCCCTGGGTAAGAACAGCTGCCTTTGGCTCATTCTTCCCTGAAGCTTTGCAAACCCCCCCGACCTTCCAAGAAGGTTTGAATCTTTCCCTATAATTTCTCCCATCACCATGACCAATCTCCCACATCTCCCCCTTTTCTGTTTTTTGCATCAGGTTTTGTGCAGAAACAGGTTTGTCAGGCACAGCAGTTATAATTTGCATTACGGCTTTGCATCCTAGAATTAGTAAATAACATAAGACAAAAATGAATATAATCAGTATCATTCTTTTCCAATCAAGGAGTGACCCCTAGGAGTGGGGGTCTATCCAGAAGAGATGTCCTTGCACATCCTTCCATATGGTTGTTTGTTGGGCATGTAGATCTATGGCGTTTAGGGATTCTAGGATATTAAATTGCCTTATGTCTGCTATTAAATTATCATGTAAGTTTCCCCAGAGGTGTTGTTTCACCTCATCCCAACTATTTATTGATTGATTCCAAGATAGAGAGGTGACACAGATATGCTAATGCTCCCAGTCACAGTTTAATTGCTGTCAGAATGCCAGTGCATCTTGTCGCTCCTCTACGTATTCCAAGGCAGCCTCAAGGCTTGCAGGCGTGCAAGAATCTTTTGATCTATACCCTGCTGTAAGAGAAGTTCATTAGACACATTTTTTGCCAAGTTGTCTACAGAGGTAGCTGTTTGTACTGATTCAGTAATAGAGGCCACAACAACAATAGCAGTTGCCAAGATGACTATGGCTGAGATTTTAAAGGCTATAAGTGTGCCTATGAGTCTTTTGGGTCTGACCTGGGACAGGGCATGTTCTAAGGTGGCAAGGGCAGAGGAACCTTGTCCATCACGTGTCAAATTGACTGGTAGGAATGCCTCAGATTTTCTCCTTAATACCATGACACTAGTAATATTTTAGTTAGATATATTGTAATTAGTGATACATGAGGTGAACCAAGCCTGTCCCTGCACTCAGGTCACAAACTTGGAGTTTTGGGGTGTAATGGAAATATTAGTTCCCATAAGGAAAACATATGGATGGGTAGTGCAAATCAGGCACTGATCTGTGTGATTATGAATAACAGTCATAGTATAATTGTTACTGGAATTATGATATGTTCCATGCCAGATATTAAGGGAGGTGCTAAGATGTCCCAAGTGCCATAAAGTGTCTTGGGGTGGCATCTACTTTACTTGGGGTCTGGGATATCTCATCTCCTCATTGGCCCAAATCATAGGGGAACGGGATGTGACTACAAAACTGTGATTGATGCCACAATGGATGTGGACATCAGTATGGTCACCCTGCAAATATGTGGGGGAAAGAGAGATCAGACTGTTACTATGTCTATATAGAAAAAGGAAGACATAAGAAACTCCATTTTGACCTGTACTAAGAAAAATTCTGCCTTGGGATGCTGTTAATCTGTAACCCTAGCCCCAACCCTGTGCTTGCAGAAACATGTGCTGTATTGACTCAAGGTTTAATGGATTTACGGCTGTGCAGGATGTGCTTTGTCAAAATCATGTTTGCAGGCAGTATGCTTGGAAAAAGTCATCGCCATTCTCCATTCTCGAGTACCCAGGGACACAATGCACTGTGGAAGGCCGCAGGGACCTTTGCTCAAGAAAGCCTGGGTATTGTCCAAGGCTTCCCCCTACTGAGACAGCCTGATATATGGCCTTGTGAGAAGGGAAAGACCTGACCATACCCCAGCCCAACACCCGTAAAGGGTCGGTGCTGAGGAGGATTAGTGAAAGTGGAAGGCCGCTTTGCAGTTGAGATAAGAGGAAGGCATCTGTCTCCTGCTCGTCCCTGGGAATGGAATGTCTCAGTGTAAAACCTGATCATACATTCTGTTTACTGAGATAGGACAAAACTGCCTTATGGCTGGAGGTGAGACATGCTGGGAGCAATACTGCTCTTTACTGCATTGAGATGTTCGTGTAAAGTCAAACATAAATCTGGCCTACATGCACGAGGGACAGCACATTTCCTTAAACTTATTTATGACACAGGGTCCTTTGCTCATATGTTTTCCTGCTGACCCTCTCCCCACCAATACCCTATAGTTCTGCCACATCCCCCTTGCCAGAATAGTAGAGATAGTGATCAATAAATACTGAGGGAACTCAGAGACCAGTGCCGGTGCAGGTCCTCACTTTCTGAGCGCCAGTCCCCTGGGCCCACTTTTCTTCCTCTATACTTTGTTTCTCTGTCTTATTTCTTTTCTCAGTCTCTCGTCTCCACCTTGCGAGAAATACCCACAGGTGTGGAGGGGCAGGCCCCCTTCAAAATGGCCATGGGAGCTCCAGTCTAAGATGTTATAATTGCCTAACTGGAAGCTACAGGCTTGACCCCTGTGACAGACCTCCCAGCTAAAGTGGAATCCATTACTTTTCCGGCCTTGTTCTTCAGCACAGGGAGGAATGTTTGGGAAGGTGGCATTGGTTGTGTTGCATGGTTTGAGATTACCTGCAACCAACAATGTTAAGGCATTTCCTTTGCCATGATGTAGTCATAATTGTGTTTGGGCAGGTACACAGTAAGGGTTAGAACTTTTATAACTTACACACAGTGGAAGGATAGCGGAGTGATATATAGTGTTAACTGGCACCTTAGTCCAATGTGTGCCATTAATAAGAGACCCCACTGGAGGTAAGTCAATCCCTCCTAGCCAAGCAGTTACGTTATTAGAGACTGGGAAGGAGGTGTCTGCCCAAGTAACAGAGCAGAAGAAAGGTGGATCTAAGAGATGAGCCCAATAGAGAGTAGCAGGTGCGGATTGCAGGCAGAGTGAGAGAACAAGAAAGGTTAATACCCTATGAGAGTTGCAAGGTACAATAGAAAGCATATAAAGG